GGGGCAACTAGGGAGCAAGGGGGGAGCAGGCAGGGCCCGGGCAGAGCCCCGGCTCCAGGCCTTGGTGGAGCAGGCCCTGGGGCCACGAATGCTCCCGGTCCCCGGGCACCACGCCCACACAACCTGCTGCCTCAGTTGAGCTATCTGCGGGCCAGGATCCAAAGGGGCTGCCTTGTGTGGGGGCAGGGGATCAAGTTCACCAAGTGCACTATGGCTGCCCCTTGGTGCCTCGTGCGGGCAGCGCCCTGAGCTAGGAGTCTGCTTCCTTAGCCAGCTTCCCCAGCACTGGCCCCGCTCTGCAGAGACGCCAGGGGCTCCGGGAACAAACCAGAACATGCAGCCACTTGGCTCCAGGCAGGCTGGAGGAGACAGCCCAGCTGGGGTGTGCTGCAGGAGGAGGCAGCATCCGCTGCCCCCCCCTTCTCCCCAATGCCTTATTCCGGGCAAACACAGAACGAAGGTGCCAAGTAAGTCAAAGATCTGGGCTCTCAGCCGCCCCCAGACACCTGCATCTGTCCACCAGGCCCTGCGTCTCTTCTGAACGAGCCAGACCCACAGGGCTAGTGGAGTGGCCGGCAGCAGTAGAAGACTGTTATCGGCCCTGCGGCACGGGTCCGGGGAGGAGGGTGGAGACACTTGCCAGCGGGTGTCACAGCTGTTTGCTGAGAGCCGAGCACAGGGGGGCCGGGGCTGCTGGGTCGAGTTCCAGGCTCTTTAAGGGGGCGTGGGACCCTCCTGCGCCTGCACCTCCCTTCCAGCCATCTCCTCCAGCCCCCCTCCCTCCTGCCTCGGGCACCTCACGGCAGACCAAGCCCCGGCCCCGACCGGCTCCCCCACCTTCCCGGCACTGCCCCAGCGCCACCCCCGCTGCCGAGAAGTTCTTTCCCCCCTGCCGGGGCAGCCTCTGTCTGCAGCAGGAAGCCTGGGTCCTGGGCTGGGGAGAAAAGTCACCAGCCCCCCCAATGCTGGGCCTGGATCCGATTACTGCTCCGACATGGGGGGGAGGTGGAGGGATTCTGTCGGTACAGACACCCCAGTGGCATGGACCATCTTTGCTCCCCGCAGAAGTCACCAGCCCCCCCAACGCTGGGCCTGGATCCGATTCCTGCTCCGACATGGGGGGGGGAGGTGGAGGGATTCTGTCAGTACAGACACCGCGGTGGCATGGACCATCTTTGCTCCCCGCAGTGTCACCGTGGCGACAAGGCCCATCTTTGGTCCCTGCAGTGTCACCGTGGCAACAGGCCCATCTCTGCTCCCCGCAGTGTCACCGTGGCGACAAGGCCCAACTTTGCTCCCTGCAGTGTCACCGTGGCAACAAGGCCCAACTTTGCTCCCCGCAGTGTCACCGTGGTGACAAGGCCCATCTTTGCTCCCCGCAGTATCACCGTGGCAACAGGCCCATCTCTGCTCCCCGCAGTGTCACCGTGGTGACAAGGCCCATCTTTGCTCCCCGCAGTGTCACCGTGGCGATATGACCCATCCTTGGGTCTCCACAGTGAACACACAGCCCCATGGCCCATCCCAGTGCAGGAAGCAGGCTGGGGGGATTTCTCACCAACAGTAGCAGCAGCACTGGCACATGTCAGGAAACACTGGACTTTATTGTTGTGCAGGAAGCGGGCTGGGGGGATTTCCCACCGACAGTAGCAGCAGCACTGGCACATGTCAGGAAACACTGGACTTTATTGTATCTGTAAGGACTGACAGTGGCTTTGACAGGTCCCTTCCCCATCGCAGGGACCACGGGGACAGGGACACCGGAGGGTGGAGGAGACGGGAGGGGGTTGCCTTAAATAAACAGGGCTGGAAAATAGTTTCTCCAAACCGCGCACTGGGCACGTCGCTCCGTCCACGCAACGTGGGGCGTCAGGCTGGGCTCAGCGCCAGCGGCGGCTTTTCACAGGTGCAGTCCGGGGGCCTTTAAGGGATTTTTTTTGTTTTTCTTTTGCACGTGGCCAGCTGTATCCCCTGGAGATCGACGCAGACTTCCTTCCCCCCGGTGAGCGTCACGCTGCAAGCAGAGAGAGAGCTGTGAGCGGGCGGCCAGACAGAGCTGCCATGGGGCTGGGGACGAAGGCCCTTGTCTCTTGGCCACGAGAGGCTGGCAGAGCCCCTGGGGCCCGGCCCAGCTGCGGCTGTGGGCACGTGGCTCCCCTGGCTGTGACAACGCCTCACTGCGTCCCGGTAAGGCCTTGCCCTATTGCAGTCTGTGCCCTCCCCCACAGACTGGTCAATACACCAGGGCCACGGCCGGCCGCCTGCCCTCAGAATGGCATGTCACCGCACTGCTGTGCCGGGCTGCTGCCGCCCCCCCCCGGTCCAGGGCCCCCCAGCTCCGCCAATGCTCTTCGCTGCAGCCCCCTCCTGCTGCTGGAACCCAGAGCCCCTCCAACCGCGGCCATTGCCTCTCGACCCTGCTGAGCTGGGCTCCCGGCTCCCCACTGCCCCGGCTGTGCCATCTGCCAGCATTGCCCCAGTAGCAGCGGCGCTGGGAGACTCACCCATTCGCCGTTCCGTTTGCTGGGGGAGCGGGATCCCGCAGAGTCGGGCTAACGGCCGTGGGCGCTCCCCCTGCCCTGGGGTGTTCCTATGAGCCGTGCAAAACTGGCAGTTGTGGCGCACGGTGAAAACGCACGGCTCTCCCCTCCCAGAGCGCAACAGCTGCCAACGAACCGCGCTGCAAAGCGGCAGTGGCGGTGGGGGCCACCGAGTGGCAGCACAAACGATTGGCTTTGCATATAAACAGAAAGCTCTATGCGTGTTGTTTGGCTGAGTTGGCAGCTTTGTGGACACAGGCGGAAGCAGGTACATCCCACCCCCACCCCCACCCCCATGTGTCGCCCTGGGATACTCACATCACGGCCTGGCGGGAGCAGTTAGGCCCGGTTAGTCTGCAACTTTTGATGTATTTGGGAGAAATTCTTCTAGGAACAAAATTATCTTTCAGGCAGCACGTGGAGCTCTGGCTGAGGACTGGGGAGAAGAGAAGGGGAATCAGTTCCTTTTTTTTCTGGCCCGACACCCCCACCCCCATGTGTCGCCCTGGGATACTCACATCACGGCCTGGCGGGAGCAGTTAGGCCCGGTTAGTCTGCAACTTTTGATGTATTTGGGAGAAATTCTTCTAGGAACAAAATTATCTTTCAGGCAGCACGTGGAGCTCTGGCTGAGGACTGGGGAGAAGAGAAGGGGAATCAGTTCCTTTTTTTTCTGGCCCGAGGCCGAGCGGCCCGGGGAGAAGTTCTTACGCTGGCTTTACTCCTGTGCTCGTTAGCAGGAGGAGTTCTGGGGGCTCCCCCGTCCCCTCCCCCATCGGGTCAATGGTTGGTGGGCAGAGGCGGGAACCCGTCCTCCTCTGCACAGAACACGAACTATTCTCTGTTCTACCACTACGCGATTCTTGGGTTTCACTGCGGCGCTCTCTGCCTCAGTTTCCCTGCCGCAGCCTGGGGGTACGGGTAGCGAGACGCCTGCCGGGGCTGGCGAGGCTGAATTCAGTGATTCTGGTGGATGGCTCCCAGAGCCGCGCACACGGGCCATGGAGAGCTGAGTGGCATAGCGGGCAGCTTGCTGCCCACAGACCACAAAGCCCGATCCCCAGTTTCCGGATGGAGCCTGAGGCCAGGGTCCGGCTCAGCTTCCCAGGGAGTTTGGGGGCAATTTCTTATGCACCTCAGCCCGGCCTGGGCAGACGAACCCCTCAGGCAGCTTCAGAGACCCAGCCTCAGTGAGGGAGGTGGACTCGCACCGAGATGCCCTGAGGCCCAGCCCAGGGCCCGGCCGGCCCCCTCCTTTCTTTGGTCCGCCACTGCCCTTCCCCAGCTCCTGGCCAGGCCCTGCTGCTGGCTCTGCCCGGGCTCCGGGATCTGGCACTGCCCGGGCTCTGGGATCAGGCACTGCCTGGGCTCTGGGATCAGGCACTGCCCGGGCTCCGGGATCTGGCACTGCCCGGGCTCTGGGATCAGGCACTGCCTGGGCTCTGGGATCAGGCACTGCCCGGGCTCCGGGATCTGGCACTGCCCGGGCTCTGGGATCAGGCACTGCCTGGGCTCTGGGATCAGGCACTGCCCGGGCTCCGGGATCTGGCACTGCCCGGGCTCTGGGATCAGGCACTGCCTGGGCTCTGGGATCAGGCACTGCCCGGGCTCCGGGATCTGGCACTGCCCGGGCTCTGGGATCAGGCACTGCCTGGGCTCTGGGATCAGGCACTGCCCGGGCTCCGGGATCTGGCACTGCCCGGGCTCTGGGATCAGGCACTGCCTGGGCTCTGGGATCAGGCACTGCCCGGGCTCCGGGATCTGGCACTGCCCGGGCTCCGGGATCTGGCTCTGCCCGGGCTCCAGGATTAGGCTCTGCCCAGGCTCTGCAGGCGACGCGGGGGGCTGGCCCGTACTCACAGGTATCGCAGTGGGCACCAGTCCAGACAGCTGCCAGCAGCAGCGCTGCCAATGTGACGGAGGTGACCCTCATGTCCAGGCGGGATCTCTGCGCGGCGGCTCAGGCTGCGGGCAGGGTGCTCCAGGGGGCGGGGGCCGAGGATGGTGTGGCTGCCCGGGCAGGGATTTCCATGGCTGTGGTGAAGGGCATGTGGAGGTGGGGAAAGGGACGGAGGGACGCGTGATTACTAAGTGCTAATGAGGGAATGGAACCCACGTCCCTCGCAAGGCTCCTGTCCCCAGGAGGGACGCAGCAGGGCTGGAAAGTCTCTTGCTGATCTGATAAGGGACCAGCCTTGCTCACGCTCACAGGGGAGAGGGTGGGGGAGGGACAGGCTGAGGATTTCAGGTTTAAATTTAGTCCCTTGCAAACCACACAGGATGAGACTCGATCCCGGCCCGGGGCTTTGCTCAAGGCTGCACCGAGTCTCTTTCCACCCGCCCAGTGACACTGGCCGGATGCCCTGAGAAGGACACAGGAGCCGGCCCACGACGTGCCCATGGTGGCTTGGTCTGGATGGGCTTGGGGGGAGGTTACAACCCCCCCACCCCGGGCACATTCTGTGTTTCCCTGAGAGCAGCCTGTTTCAGGGAGATCCCAGCTAGGTGCGAAGGTTTCTCCAGGCTCCAAGTAACCAGGCAGCAGCTGCCTATAGACCAGCCACTGACATGAACGAGGTGGGGGCTGATTTCCAGGCAGCGGCCCAGGAGTGAGTTTTGTTCTGCAGCAGCACAGAGGGGATGCTGGAGACATGCTGTACCATGCCACCCTGTCCTCTGCACTGCTGGTGGCAGCAGCACTGCCTTCAGAGCTGGGCATCCGGCCAGCAGCTCCTGCTCCCTGGCTTCCCATGCCGAACTGCACAGGGAGGAGTTTCTGATCCCTGGGCTTCCCCTTGCCATTCAACTCCTCGCTACCAGGCCCACGCACTCTACTGCCTATGCCTGTTTGCTAGGCTGGCAGCTTGCCCAGCCTTCCTCTCTCCCCCCCCTCCCGCCTCCCCATCCCCAAGGAGTCCTGGTCCCCTGTTCGAGATCCCCTGATTAGATCTACAACAAGACTGTTTCTTGTCAGCGATCAAAGAGGTAGATGATGACGTGCCACCGACAGATCAGCCAGCCTGTGTGTTCCCGTAATAACTTAACAGGGGACACTGCAGTTATCACTCTCAGCCCGCTCATGTAGGGGTGTCAAACAAATAGCAATTAAATGAGCAGTCCCCAGCTCATTTGCCCTGTATCGATAAGAGACTGTGGGTAGATGCTGAGTGTATTTGTCACCTTGTAAGAAGTTTTACCATGTAACCACATTAGCTTGTAGATGATAATTCTCTTTCAGGAGTTAATTGACTTAACTATGTAGGTGACTGTGTCCAAGTATCCTTAAGATGGAAGATGTGAGATGCTGCAGGAAACTGACAATGTCGTCTCTGTGGTCTCTGTCACAATGAGGGGCTGGCTACTTGCCCTCTGTGTAAGAGAGTAACTGGGTACCAGTGTCTGCACAGGAACTAGATTTGCTTCAAAGCCAAGGTCCACATCAACTATTCTTCCACCAGGGAAAGCACATTCGGGAGGAGTCTCATCAGATGGCCAGAAGAATTACACAGGAAAGCTTTGGGCCTGAGGCTTTCATCTCTAGTCTGCTTCATCTTTGACCAGGAAAGGCCGAGTCATAAGATGGAGATCTTCCAAATAATCCTATGGAAAAGCCTGGGAAATGCATGGAAAACCTGTACCAGACTACACCGAAATTGCCTTTGGATTCTGACGTTCTCGCTGGGATGATTCCAGAGAGACTTTTACAAGCCAGTAGTTTATCCCATCACTGCCGTGATCCTGAATGCTGAACAATGGAAGTCACTAGTACGTCCGTGGATCTTTTCACTGTTTGCAACTCTCTCCTCTTTTCTTTTTATTACTGAACATTTAGTTTTAGTTACTGTTTGGCACCAGCATGATTATTGGATGAGATCTGCCTTCTCCTTTGGGGAGGTGACCTTTACATACGGCGAGTCGGGTTGTCACTAACCTCTCGCTATACTAGACTGGGCTATTTCAATGGGACCCAAGGGCTGGATTGCCTACAGGTGACTTGTTTTATTACTGATTACTGATTTGTTTTATTACTGATTAATTATACTAGCCAATTAGCCTGTCATAAGACGGGATTTTCAGGTCTCTCCTCCACATCGGTCTTTTCTCCTGAGCCTCCGGTCTCTCACTCTGTCTCTCTCTCACTCTCTGCTCCTCCTACTGCCTCCCCCCCGCCTCAGCTTTCCTCCACCTTCTGCCTCTCTCTCCATCTCTCTCTTTTTCTTCTCCCCCTCTTGCTTCTCACTCTCTCTCTGCTCTCCTCTGTCTCCGTTGGGGATGCACGCACGTTACTGCCCTGCCCCCTTTGCCTCCAGCCGTGGCGCTCGGCTGACTTCTGTGCCGCTCAGCCGGGCCGCCACGTGGGAGCAAGTGGCGCAAGTGACCATTTGGGCGCCATTCTCCCCATGCAGCACAGGGAGTGTGGAGCCCAAACAGCTGTTTGGGCTCCCTCACTCTCTGGCTACGTCTACACTGGCCCCTTTTCCGGAAGGGGCATGTTAATTTCAGCTATCGTAGTAGGGAAATCCGCGGGGGATTTAAATATCCCCCGCGGCATTTAAATAAAAATGTCCGCCGCTTTTTTCCGGCTTTTAGAAAAGCCGGAAAAGAGCGTCTACACTGGCCCCGATCCTCCGGAAAAAGCGCCCTTTTCCATCTTATTCTTATCTTTGAAGTAGGAATAAGATCCTCCGGAAAAGGGCGCTTTTTCCGGAGGATCGGGGCCAGTGTAGACGCTCTTTTCCGGCTTTTCTAAAAGCCGGAAAAAAGCGGCGGACATTTTTATTTAAATGCCGCGGGGGATATTTAAATCCCCCGCGGATTTCCCTACTACGATAGCTGAAATTAACATGCCCCTTCCGGAAAAGGGGCCAGTGTAGACGAGCCCTTCTGTGTTTCTCTTCTCCTCCTCCTGCTGCGTCTCTCTCACTCTCTCTCTCGCTGTCCTCCGCCTCCTCCATTCTCCTCTCTGTCTCCTCCGTGTCCGCTCCGCTTTCCTCCTTTTGAATCTGGCGCCCTTTCCTGACATCAGAGACACACACTCGTCCAGGCCCCGCCCCCTGGCTGTTTCCTCTGGGTAGTGCTGTTGCCTCCCGCTGTGGCACTCGGCTGACTTTTGCGCCGCTCAGCTGGGCCACTGTGTGAGAACAAGCAGGGCAAGCAGCCGTTTGGTCCCCACACTCCTCATGCAACACGGGGGTGCTGCATGGGGAGTGCAGGGCCC